GTCATAGCGAGCAGTGGAACTCCCGGTCTCCTGGTAGAATGATGGCCCAAGGGGACAATTTACATATTAGGCTTTTACTATATAAGGAGGATAGCCAAGACATGGACACAACCTAAGTGTCCTTTGATGCTTGATTGGATAAAGATGTGATGCATATATATAATGAAATATCAATCAGCCATAAAAGATAAAATATTACCATTTATGACAACATGTGTAGATCATGGGAGTATTATACTAAGTGAAATAAGTCAGATGGAAAAGGACAAGAACCCTATATATTATTTCACTCATATGTGGAATATAAAACAAAGCAACAAATTAACAAAAACAAACAAAACAAACCACAAACCTACAGATACAAACAGAATGATGATTAGAGGGAAAGGGAATTCGGGGGGAGGATGAAGAGGGTAAAGCATATCAAATATATGGTGACAGAAGGATACTAGACCTCAGGTGGGTGAGCACAAAATAGAGTATATAAATGTCATAGTATAGCTGTACATCTGAAATTATTAACCAACTAGAAGCCCATTGCATTAAGATTCGTGCAATAGGCCTTCCTTCCCCTGACTGCCGGCACCGGTTTTCCTCTGGCACACAGGCCCCAGGCCTTTGGTCCGGCCACAGGGGAGAAGCCAAGCCTCTTCAGTCTTCAGTCTTCACTCCTCGCCTGCGTATGCAAATTAACCACCATCTTTTGTTGGGTTAATTTGCATAGTCACTCTGATTGGCTGGTGGGTGTAGCAGAGTGACACGAATTTGCATGTTTCTTTTATTAGTGTAGATACTATCCCAATACATTTTAAAATTCAACTTAACACTGATAAGAGAATGAATTTACGAGGTGTGCCAAAAATGAAAAATATTTAGCAAATCTATGCTCACAGGTTTTTTGTGTTCAAATGTAAGCAAAAACATATATTAAAATCATATAAAACATTATTTAGTAACTAGTCCACAGGGTAAGATGCAAAACATTAATATTTTAAGCTCTATAAGGATGAACACACCCTACAACAGAAAAAAAAAATCACTTGACTTCCACATATATTTTCATGAATGTATTAACACTGTAGGAGATTGAATAGCATAGGCTAGGTATGTAGTTCCCAAACTTTGCTAACATACTGGAATCACCTGGGGAATCTTTAAAGAATACGATTGAAAACAGTATGTATGGAGGTTCCTAAAAAAATTAAGAATGGAGCTGCCATATGACCCAGCAACTGGTCTTCTGGGTATCTATGATCAGTCATTGTTATTTAATTGGCATAAAGAAGGACTTGGGCATTGGATGTTGTAAAAGTGTCCCAGATGACTCTAATGTGCAACAAAACTTGGAAATCATTAAACTAAGTTGTGATTTAAATCTTTAAACTAAGATTTTTAAAAAATCTCCAAACTTTCAATGAGTTTATTTCTCATTCATGCTGCAAGTCCAATGTGAAGAGATCCACCATCTTCAATAGTGATATCTCAACCCCAGGCCTCAGGGTCCACCACAACAGGAAGGCATGAAACCCATATATTGGCTCTTAAATGACTCATTTCAATTCTCCCTAACATTTCAGTGGCTGAAGCAAGCCACTTACCCATGAAGTACTTCAAGAGGATGTGGAAGTATAATTCTCCACATGCCCAGATGGGAACAAGAAATATCAGAATAATATCTCTCATCTCTTAATTTTTATTTATCCTCACCCAAGGAAATGTTTTTTATCGATTTTAGAGAGAGGGAGAGATATAATGACACGAGAAACATTGATCAGCTGCCTCCCGCATGCATCCCAACCTGGGACTGAACCCACAACTCAGGTATGTTGCCCTGACTGGGAATCGAATCCATAACTTTTGGTGTATGGGAGGATGTTCCAACCAATCAGGCCAGCACTCTCCCATCTTTTTAAAGTTAGTATATGCTTGCTATAATGATTTCCCCTGGTGCTAAAGACGGGAATGTTTTTGTTTCCCCAAAATTTATATTGAAACTTAATTCCCAGGGTGATGGTATTTGGAGGTGGGGCAGCTGGAGGTGATTAGGTCATGAGAGCAGAGCCCTAATGAATGGGACCTGTGCCTTTACAAGAGAGAACCCAGAGAGCTCCCTCCTCATGCCCACACAGCAAGATGGCTATGAACCACCTCACCAGACATCAAATCTGCAGGTGTTTTGATCTTAAACTTCACAGCCTTCAGAACTATGAGAAATGTTTCTGCTGTTTATAAGCCACCCAGTCTATGGTATTTTGTTACGGGAGCCTGGATGAACTAAGACACCTTGCCACATCTTTTGGTACTAGGCCTCAATTCTTCAATTTTCTTCTTTTTCATGAACCAATCTTACATCTACAAATAACTTGACATTACTGAATGGTACATTGTATTTCCTTTATAGCCTGTACTGTACTTAAGTTAATCAAGTAGCTTTAAAAACAGTGTGATGGTCTTTACTTCTAAATCGGGTTTGACTGCCCTCACCCGTTTGGCTCAGTGGATAGAGTGTCGGCCCATGTACTGAAGGGTCCGGGTTTGATTCTAGTCAAGGTCATGTGGGCTCATGTGGGAGGCAACCAATCGATGTTTCTCTCTCGCTATCTCTCCCTCTCTCTTCTACTCTCTCCAAAAAGCAATGGAAAAATATCCTTGGGTGAGGATTAACAAAATAAAAAATAAATCTGGTTTAACTTTGTATTGGTAGCTGCGGATGACCCCAAGAAATAGGCACCTGCTGTCAACTTATTCCACTATTCCTCCTTCCTTCCAGAACAAAACACTCAATTCTTGCCAGTTTGCTCTGCTCTGAATATTAATTTGCACAGGTGGAGGAACTCAGAAACTGCTCTGAATTCTCCCTTGAATAAGAATTCTTGCTCGGCTGGTGTGGCTCAGAGGTTGAGCGTCTATCTATTAATCTCTTTTATCAGGTCATGGTTTGTTTTCTGGTCATGGCACATGCCCAGGTTGGGGGCTTGATCCCCAGTGGCCAGTGGGGGAGGGGCATGCAGGAGGCAGCAGACCAATGATTCTCTCATCATAGATGTTTCTATCTATCTCCTCCTCTCCCTTCCTCTCTGAAATAAAATATATATATATTAAAAATGTTCTTAATATTTCTACCTGTCTTTCTAGTATTTTACTAAGTCAAAGAAATACAGGAGTCTGCTCTTACTCAGTTTTTAAAAAAATGTTTTTATTGATTTTAGAGAGAGGGACATAGACACATTGATGAAAGAAAAACGTCATCTATATGCTGCCTCCTACCTATTGAGCTTGCAATCCAGGCATGTGCCCTGACTGGGGATCGAACCAGTGACCTCTTGGTTCATGGGTCAACACTCAACCACTGAGCCACACTGCCAGGCCCCCCTTATTCAGTTTTTCTTTCTGTGGTTTCAGTTACTGTGGTCAATTGTGTTCTGAAAATATTAAATGGAAAATTCCAAAAACAAACCATTCACAAGTTTTAAACTGCACACCACCCTGAGTAGGGTGATGAAATCTCACTACTCTGCCTGGGTTGTGAATCATCTCTATGTCCAGCGTATCCACGCTGTATATGCTATAACCCACCCAACCGTTAGCCACTTAATGGCTGTCTTAGTTGTCATAGGGAAAGAGACCACATTCATGTAACTTTTATTATAGTATATTGTTATAGTTGTTCTATTTTATTATTATTGTTAATCTTACTGTGCATAGTTTATAAATTAAATTTTATCACATGTATGTATGTGTAGGAAAAAATGTATATTCAGGGTTCAGTACTATCTGCAGTTTCAGGCATCCACTGGGGGTCTAGGAATGTATCCCACTTGGATAAAAGGGGACTACTGTATTTTAAATCTCATTTCAAGCAGACTTTCATCGCCAAACACTCTTTTTTATTTCTACCACCTAACACTTACTCCTTGAGGATAATGTATTTAAAAGAAAAACCAAACAAAATGGGTAGTCAAAGAACACCTCAGTGATTTTTATATTGATGTGTGCTCAGTAATTTTTTACCAATAATTAAATGGATTAAATCATTACAGAAATAAAGAAAATTCTTTTAAAAAATGAGTCTAAGAATTTTGGTGGGAACAGTAACTCTGGTGAAAATAACAAAGTTTCTATGATACTACCTCTGAGATAAACATTTTATAAATGATTAATAAGTTTATTATAAACTGTGCTATAAATGGGAATTAACCAAAACAACTGTTAGGCTTCTAAGCCAAAAAAACATTACACTGTTTCAGAATGCATCATTTAACATTTTATTAGAAAAATATTTTTAAAGTAATATATTATAAAAGTAATGTGTCAATTTCTAATATCAGAAATAAATGTTGAAAGCAATTATATGTACATATATGCACACATACACTCCACAAAGAAAAAAATTAAAATGCCACTCAAATTTAATGCATTAGATCTTGACCAAAGCTTGATAGAAACTTTGGGGCATCAGCAAACTCAGTCATCTGTTTTGCTTTTCCTTTACATACCAGATTAAATATTAGCCTTGGAAAATGAAAACCTTTATCAATGCAAATGAAATAAAAATAATTTCAAATGTAAACCTGATGAAAATAATTTATTGTAATATGAATTGGTTTTGATAATCAAATGTCTGGCATTATCATTATATCATTTTGTCATCATATGAAAATATAACCAAAACAATCATAGTCCATGTTTGGAACACATTTACCTCATCCTCACATCTCTAGGTTTATTATTTGAAATACCAGAATAAAATATTTTACTCTATTTTTAAAGTCTATATTTACTTTAGAACTAAGAAAAACTTTACTTCAGATAATACAAATAATATTAATACTTTAACTCATTTACTACAACCTGGTTTTTAAGAATTTATTTAAAGTTTTAATACAGTAATATTTTAGGATCAAAAAAGCCATATTATATATTCAAAGGCAATTTTCCTAAACTTGCCTTCTAAATTAATAAAGGATTTCTTGAGTGAAAAACTTATAACAAAGTCAAAATTGATTAAATTTAAAATGTCTTTATTCATTTATATGGTAAATACTGTCTCCTCCTAAAAAACAATGACATTTGTCTTTCAATATGTCAAACTTCAATATGTCATGTGTCTTTTTATTTCATATGTTAACATGATCTAAGATGCAGGACACAAAAATCAATTTTAATAGACATTATTAAATAATTTCCCATATACGCAGAACTTTGGAAAATGGTTAAAATTAGAGATGAATGTTAAATGTGGGCACATGAACGTTCTGTATACACCGATGAACTTAACAGAAGATGAGTTCCCACTGATTTCTGGTAACCAACTTGCTTTCTGTGACTCTTTAAATACCCAATTCCAAATCTTCCAGCTCCTGGAGAAGGGCTTTCTCTTTTTGAATTTTCTCCAACTAGAAAAGTTTAAAACAATAAAGTTATTAAAAAGGAAATAAAATAATTACTGGCTCTATAGCCAAATAGCAAAGAAGAAAATATTTACAGAGAATATAGCTGACAGTTTATCAGATCCACTGGTAAAGAGATTTAAAAGTACAGACTGGATGCCCAGCCGGTGTGGTTCAGTGGTGAAGTGTTGACCTATGAACCAGGAGGTCACAGTTTGATTCCAGTCAGGGCACATGACAGTAGAGGACATGTAGGAGGCGGCCAATCAATGATTCTCTCTCATCATTGATGTTTCTATCTCCCTCTTACTTCCTCTCTGAAAATCAATTAAAAAAACAAAAATAAAAGTGCAGATTAGAAACACGTTCTAATTTGTTATCTGGCATGAATCAAGGGGGCAAAGGAAAGAAGCTGTCTTTAAGTCTTTTTTTTTTTCCAGTGTATTTTTATTTATTTCAGAGAGGAAGGGAGAGAGAGAGAGAGAGAGAGAGAGAGAGAGAGAGAGAGAGAGAGAAACATTAATGATAAGAAAGAATTATTGATTAGCTGCCTCCTGCATGCCCCCCCACTGGGGATTGAACCCGCAATCCTGGCATGTGCCCTGACCAGGAATTGAACCATGACCTCCTGGTTTACAGATCCATGCTCAACCACTGAGCCACACCAGCTAGGCCAGAAGCTGTCTTACTGCATTCCTTCAGGTCCAGTAAACTTTCCAGTCTACACCTGGGGTTAAAAGAGCTGAGGAAAGGAAGAGGGAAGGGCAAAAAAAAAAAAAAAAAAAAAAAAAGCAGGGTGCAACCTGAGACAGTAAAGAAGAGAATTTTCTATTTGTCTAACATAATAAATGCTCTTATTTTCAGCAGCAAATAAATGCTCTTATTTTCAGCAGCAATAGCATTAATACACCTCTTAGAAATAGTGACGTTCTCAGTCACTTATCTACATCATGTCTCCCTCTATCCCTGTTTAAGAGTAAAAACATTAAAAAATATATGGCATATATTTTCCAAGAGACGTTTTTAAAACCTATGTGTTCTTTTACCCAATGAAACAATTGCTTATAATAAAAAGGGGAAGAGTAGTCATGACTATGAGCTCAAATTAAAAATGCAGAAAATACCTGATTTTTTTCTAGCTGTTTTCCAGTTGCTGCTTGTTCTTTCAGTTGTTCGATTGCTTTCAGTTTCTACAAATATCAAGAGGAAGGAAGAGTAAGTCATTTTAGAATGCAAATGTCCTTATTAACAACTCAATTATATGAATGTGAACCCTGAATAAGGAGAATCAATTATCTTACATTTGTATTAAGAATAGTCTGTTAAAATGCTAAGGTAAACTATTTTTTTAAATTAAATGCAAAATTAGATATATTAACAATATGGGGGATAGTGGGGGAATGTAAAGAACAGCATAGGGAATATAGTCAATAATATTGTAATAAGTATGCATGGTGGCAGGTGGGTACCAGCCTTATTGGGGACATGGGGAATCACTTCATAAGTTGTATAAATGTCTGACCACTATGCTGTACACCGGAAACTAATATAATATTGACTGTCAACTTTAATTGAAAAACGAAATAAATGAATAAATAAATAAATAAAATGTGCTCCAACTCTGGGGAAAAAAGAATATAGATTTGGTGAAATATTTTCTAAGCTTTTAATTAATGTTATATATGTATGTGTGTGTGTGCATGTGTATATATGTACATATATATGTATGTAAATATATCACCAACTTCATTATTTATTTTAGCACCTCATTGTACCAGGATGACATCTTTGGCTTTAAGAGAAACTTAATAGTGCAACCTGGGAAGGGCTCTAGAGACTTGATTTTTTTTTTAAAATATATTTTATTGATTTTTTACAGAGAGGAAGGGAGAGGGATAGAGAGTTAGAAATATCGATCAGCTGCCTCCCGCACACCCCCCACTAGGGATGTGCCTGCAACCCAGGTACATGCCCTTGACCAGAATCGAACCCGGGACCCTTCAGTCTGCAGGCCGACGCTCTAGCCATTGAGCCAAACCGGTCAGGGCTAGAGACCTGATTTTACCTCCATTTTACCTGGTTGCAATTTGACAAGCTAATCAACTTATTTCTGTCTCCGTTTGCTCATCTTTAAAACTGGGACAAAGGTCTGTTCCTACCTGTCTTGTATGTGTCTAATAAAATACTAAGTATAAAAGTATTCAGTATATTTCTGTACAAATGTACATTATTTATTACTCCAAAACCAGTAATGAGAAGACTAATAGGCATTAGATGACTGTGAATAGAACTTAAATCAGCGCCATTCCTATGACAGCATTTCATAGTGAGAAAGCAACGAGAACTGCTATAAACTTCTTAGATGCCTCTTTACGTGTCTAAATATTATTTTCTTTATAGAATCCTCACACATTTCTTTCAATGAACACATCTTACTTGCACTGAATTCTCACCTTCTTTAGGTTCTTGATTTTTTTGTCTACCTCAGGATCTCCAGAAATTGGCTGAGAGACCGTATTTTGAGCTGAGCTCTGTGATGTAGGTGTAGGTGACAAATCCAGACTCTTGTCACTTCTTGCTTCCTGCAGGAAAAATTCAATTGTCCAAAATGAAAACATTGCCTTGGTACGTAACATGCAGAAACCAAAATGTGATTTTTATCTTTTATGCTACATTTTATATAAAGAAGGGGTCTGAATTGAAGGTCTCATAAAATATGTGACATTGTACCACAATAAATACAATGCAGCTTAAAAAAGTACCACAGTACAATGAGACACCCAAAAGGTTTTTATATAATATTTATAATAGGGAAGACTTTGCTAGATCTAGAATTTAAAGTAACGTATCAAAATTTTTTTAAAAACATTATGTAATAATAAAAGAACAAATGAAAAGAAATGAAATGGCCATAGCAGGGTAATCTAGGAGGTTTCTGCATTAGCCAATAAGTACTCAAAATGTCTAGATATTTTGGGAGGTGCCATTATATGGATGCTTTGGAAATGTGAGAAGGCTTTTCTCATGAAGGTATTTGAAATTTGACTCTTGTAATAGCCTCAAAAACTATAATGCATATGCATAATCAAGTGCATGTAATGAATGATGCTACAGGACAAGTCCTATAGAGATCCTATATAATACAAGGCTAATATGCAAATCAACTGAACAGCGAACGACTGGTGGCTATGACGTGCACTGACCACCAGACAGCAGATGCTCAACGCAGGAGCTGCCCCTGGTGGTCAGTGCACTCCCACAGAGGGAGCATCGCTCAACCAGAAGCCGGGCTCATGGCTGGCGAGTGCAGCGGCAGTGGCGGGAGCCTCTCCCACCTCCGTGGCAGTGTTAATGATGTCCAACAGACGGCTTAGGCCTGCTCCATGGGGCTCCCAGACTGCGAGAGGGCTCAGGGGACCCCCTGCCCCAAGTGCACAAATTTCATGCACTGGGCCTCTAGTTTATTTATAATCAGGTCAGCTGAACTCTGCAACAAAGTGCCATGGAAGCACTCCCTCTACCTTCCCCCCCCCCCCCCCCCCCCCCCCCGCATTGGGTGCCATATTGTTGTTGAACGTGAACGTGAACGAGGATCAAGGCAGATCTGCCGGACCGGTCTGGAAATGGGTTCTTGCGAAGTCACAAGAAAAGCCCTTTAGAGACTCACACAGGAAGATACAAGGTACAGTGGCAGATTTAATGGAAGGGCACAGATGCCCCTGAAGAGGCTGCCACATTGCTTCATCCACGACCAGGTGGTTCAGCTCCCTCTCGCTGAGGAAGAAGTCCAGCCTCTGGTACAAGAAACCTGCACTTGTCCTCACTAAGCCCAGGAGGAGGGCCAGGGCCCAGAGATACTGTGCCATCACCTTGGCATTGGCTCTGAAACTTCCGTAGCCTAGCTTAGTCTCAAAGTGATCAGAACTCTGGTGATCTTTCTAGCCTCATCCCTCAGTCTAGCCTCATCCCTCCTAACTGAGGAATCATGATTTGAACCACTTTTATTTCCCCTAAAGTACTCTAAACTCTTGTTTCCTAGCTTTTGTGTTCACTATTCTTGTTGACTGTTCCTTGTGCCTAGAATACCTTTAGGGGACCTGGCTGACCCTACTTATCCTTTAGGCCTCACCCCCAAATTTTCTGCCTCTCCAGAGACCAGATTAGTTGCACAACATGTAGATGTATCCCTTTATAACACTACTAGAGGCTCGATGCACAAAATTTGTGCAAGGGGCTTGGCCCTTGCCGCCGCTGCAGCCACCTCTGCCTTGGCCCCCGCCACCGAGGCTTTGTCCGGAAGGTCGTCTGGAAGGACGTCCAGTCTCATTAGCATATTACGCTTTTATTATTATAGATATGCACTATCTGTACCTGAGGTTTCCTTGTTCACTGTTCTACTTGTGCCTCAGAATAATATGTGCTTTACTGCACATGCTAAATAAATGAAAGAGAAGAATGACATTCCTTTTGCATTTCAGACAAGACATGCATTTTGACAAAAGGGGAACAAAGTTATTTAAGTCTTTATTGCTCTCAAGCTAGGGCTTCTACTTCTTTATAGAGTTCCCAGTGGAATACACAGAACCCCAAGAATCCAAAACCTCTTGTTCAGAGTTCCCAAAGCATCCGGGGAACATGGAACAAGTGTCACTCCTAGATTTCCAAATCTAAAAATGTGTGCCTGAGAGTTTTTAGAGTACAAAATCATGTTTAGAAAGTAATTTTATTTGAACGTTTTTATAAACTCCAATGCAGCAAACATTAATTCCTTACCTTCTATAGAAAACATATTACTGAGCACTTTAACAAAGTATTTAGAAAGAAACTAGTTTCTACTCTTAAGGAGAACAGTGAATAAAAGGAGAAAAGTAATATTTTGCTATCAAAATTCACTTTTGACATCAGGTTAAAAATTTTTAAATTTAGTTATTTGTAATGTAAGAAGTAACATTAATGTTAGAAATATGAAAGACTATTAAAGTTAAGCAAAATATAAAATTTAAATTTCTACCATACTTTAAATACCAAGAATAAGTTAAAATGTCTGCATTATAATACTTAAATTCTGGTCATTCTCTGGAAAAGTTATGTAAAACTAAATTTTTAGTTTCAATTCTTTTTGGTACAGTTGGTAAACTTATAAAACCATCACCAGTTTATAAAAGTACTTGGTTAGATTATATACATCTGACTCCTTTATCTTTGGTTAGTATATTCGGAGCCAGGCTGAGAAGGTGTGGTCACGGTGACACTGTCATGGACCACTTACTTTGTTTTATAACACAGTCATAACTTTTGCTAACTCCAGCCAGTCATCTCAAAAATGCATACTGAAAGGATTATCTTGCAAGTAGAAAATCTTTGCCATCACTGGGAAAACACACAAAGAGCAACTCTATAAATGATGGTATTATCTTTGGTATGTAACAGGTGTGGATGACAGCATGTTGTATGGGGTGGGGTTGGTTTTTGTAATTATTATATTTTACATTAATGGCACTGCTTGTTTTTTTCAAAACATCCACATGGACTCTCTTTAAGAAAATGTAAATGTTTTAAAATAATTGATTTTTATAAATAAGAGATACTGATTAAATGACTCCCGACACAAATTTTATCAGAAAAACACACAAAATAAACATCTAACATTTTATTAGTGCAGTACAAATGATAGTAATATTGAAAATATCTGATAACAAGAAGAAATATCATTTATAAGATAGGATTCTAAGGTGGGTGGGTTTCAGAAGGCCCTTAAATCTCTATTAAAAAGAATCTTGCTCAGCTGCTATGGAAAGTAGTATGGAGGTTCCTCAAGAAATTAAATACAGAGGTATCTTATGGCCCAGCAATCCCACTTTTGGATATATATCCAGAGGAAATAAAATCATTATCTCAAAGAGATACCTGTACTCCCATGTTCACTATTATGCACAATAGCCCAGGTTATAAAAAATAAGGTAAAAAAGGGAAATCCTTCCATTTGCATTAACAAGAATGAACTGGGGGCATTATGCTAAATTAAATAAGCCAGACAAAGATAAGATACTGCATGGTATCACTTTGTATGTAGAATCTAAAAAAAAAAGTTAAAATTCAAATTTAGTATGGTAGTTGCAAGGGGATGGGGTGTGGGAGAGTGTAGAGGTTGATAAAACTTTCAGTTATAAGATAGTGTCTAAGGAGCTAATGTAGAATATGGTGACTATAGTTGATAAAACAATACTGTAGCATTAAAATTTTCTGAAAGAGTAGAACTTAATGTTCTCACCCCCCAAAAAGATAAATGTGTGAGGTGATGGACTGAAGTATGGTAGCAATCATCTCAGGTAGAAACTATAGTTTACCTTTAACCCTCCTGTTTGGCTTATGTACCTATTTGCTTTGTTTAACAATGGACAGGTTATTTTGATTTTCTGAATTATATAAATCATCCCATTCGATTAAATGCCTTATTGATTGTAATGTGAATATCCCATGGGTTGTGGTCATACTGGTCTTAGAAAGCACATTTTTCCTTCACCTGGGAAGGACAGCACAGTTATCCCAAGGTCAGAGGGCTCTAGACCCAAAACTGTAATTTAGATAACATGCCTAAATTTAACCCAGGTTACCCAAGGGCTCTAGATCAGGGGTGGGCAAACTTTTTGACTCGAGGGCCACAATGGGTTCTTAAACTGGACCGGAGGGCCGGAACAAAAGCATGGATGGAGTGTTTGTGTGAACTAATATAAATTCAAAGTAAACATCATTACATAAAAGGGTATGGTCTTTTTTTTTTTTAGTTTTATTCATTTCAAACGGGCCGGATCCGGCCCGCGGGCCGTAGTTTGTCCACGGCTGCTCTAGATAAAGTGTTTATAACATGCTGTTTCTGCTTCTGTAAACTGCTTTTTGCAAACTAGGTTCCTCATTCCAGACTCGAGGGCTCTAGATAATGTATTTCTGTCAATTCAGTGACCCCGAGACCCAAAACTATAATTAACATGCTTAATTCTGCTTCTGTAAACTGCTTTTTGTGAGCCAGGTTCCTCATTCCAAACCCTGGGATGTAATCAATACCTTTGTGATTTTTTGCCTATATAACCTTGGAGCTGCGACCATCTTGTTACTATGAGATTTGGGGAATGGCCCCTCATAGTCCCGGATTGCAATAAATGTGACTCTTTAATTCGACTTCTTGAGGTGTCCTTCTGTGATTCGCGGGGTACATTACAACAGGACGTCTAATTAACTTGATTGTGGGAACCCTTTTACCATGTACATATATATCAAATCATCACGTTGTACACTTTAAAAATGTTATTTGTCAATTATATTAGCTAGAAAAAAAGTAAGAAGGAAAGTTACCTACGAGTTATAAGGATAATGTAACTTGTAACATTCAGGGCCATAATGATGAAAGGACAAGTCCTGCTTCACACAAGTTTAATATGTGGAGTAGATTATTTTACTCAGAATGACCTAAACCTGAGCTATTTAAAGATATTTCTGGATGAAATCTATTAACTACAAAAGAGCACACTGATTTTTTAAGTCCACATTTTAGCAGAATATGGTTGCAAATGCAATTCTACACCTAAAAACAGTTACTTGCCTACCAAAATACATAAGCAACCTAGAACTGTCAAAAAAGTTAAAGTATTACCAGCAAAATAGTACTGTTTGAATCTCAAATATGTAGTTACTATGACTTCACTAACCAGAGTCCCAGCCCAGCAGGTGTGACTGTAAGCCATACAGGATTGCAATTTGTCAACTATTACAGCGGCTTTGCAACTACAAAATCGTATTAAAAATTATTTTAAGTCCAGCTGGTGTGGCTCAGTGGTTGAGCATTGACCTATGAACCAGGAGGTCATGGTTCAATTCCTGGTCAGAGCACATGCCTGGACTGTGGGCTCTATCTCCAGTGTGGGGCATGCAGAAGGCAGCCGATCAATGATTCTCTCTCATCATTGATGTCTCTGTCTCTATCTCTCTCTCCCTCTCCCTTCCTCTCTGAAATCAATAAAAATATATATTAAAAAATTTATTTTAGAACAATCCCATTGTTTGGATACTTCTGGTATTTAGATTTCCAACTGAATAATTTCTTATAGTAATATAATGCTGAGTGAAAAATTGGCTTTGTAGGCATGGACTTTTTGGTCTCTTAACAAACACATTTTCAATAAAGCAACTACACCACTTCACAAAGGTTTAAACACAGAAGTCTACAGCAAGTAACATCTACACTAATAAAAGAGAAACATGCAAATTAACCATCACTCTGCTACACCCACAAGCCAATCAGGAGTATGCAAATTAACCCCACTAAGATGGCAGCAGCCACGGAGATGGAGCAAGCAGGAGGCTTGGGTTGCCTCTGGAGATGGAGGAAGCCAAGCTTCCCGCCTGCCCTGGCCGGCCCTGGGCTCCGCTCAAGGCTACAGTTTCAATTATAGAAGATAAATAAATCCCAGATACCTGCTTCCAGCCCGCCCCGGCCTCCACTCAAGGAGGCGCTGAAAAAAAAAGAAAAGAAAAAATGGAGAGGCTGGGAGCTTGGGTTGCCAGGGGGGCATGGCCAGCCTGAAAATGGCCCTCAGCCCCTCACCCAGGCTGGCCACACCCCCATGGGGTGAGGGTCCCCACTGGGGGGCTTGACCAGCCTGCAAACAGCCATCAGCCCCTCACCCAGGCTGGCCAGGCACCCCAGCGGGACCCCCACCCTGATCTGGGACACCCTTCAGGGAAAACCAGCTGGCCCCACCCGTGCACCAGGCCTCTATCTATACTAATAAAAGGGTAATATGCTAATTAGACTGGGAGACCTTCCAGAGGTTCTTCTGGACAAAGCCATGGTGGCGGGGCTGAGGTAGAGGCGGCTAGAGGCCAAGAGGGGATGGCAGTTGTGGGTGATCAGGCTGATGGGGGGCGGGGCCATTGGGAGTAAACAGACCAGAAGGGGGGTCAGTTGGGGGCGAGCAGGCCAACAGTGGGGGTCAGTTGGAGGTGATCAGGCCAGCAGGGGGGGCAGTTGGGGGTGAGCAGGCCCGCAGGGGGACAGTTGGGGTGAGCAGGTCAGTGGGGAGG